GGCGCGCGCGGCCATCGCCTTCAGCTTCTTCTCCATCCTCAGCTGGGTGAGTGCGGCCTGCGGGCGGTGCGGGCCGGGCCGGGCCGGGCCGGGCCGGTGTCTGCTCCCGCTGACGCCGGGCTCCTCTTCAGGTGGCGCTCACCGTGAAGGCCTTCCAGCGGTTCCGCCTAGGCACCGACATGTCGCTCTTTGCCACCGAACAGCTGGGCACCGGGGCGGGCCAGGACTACCCCGGCTACCCAGTGGGCAGCGGTGTGGAGGGCACCGAGACCTACCAGAGCCCGCCCTTCACCGAGACCCTGGACACCAGCCCCAAAGGATACCAGGTGCCCGCCTACTAGTGGCTGGCAGGCCCAGAGCGGGGCTGGAAGGCTGCCCCACCAATGCAGGGCCCAAGGCCTCCTGGGACCTCCCTCAGGCCCTTCTGGCCCAACTCCCAGGATGGAGGGGCGGCCACTGTGGGCCATCTGGGGCCAAGAGAGGGTGGCCCCCAGGGTGTCTGGGCTGTATTCCCCAAGTCCGCCCAGTACCTTTAATCCCCAGCCCCAGGCCTGAGGTCTTGAGGAGGGGACAGCACAGCCCTGGACATGTGTCCTCCAGCCTCCAGTGGACCAACCTGGGCAGGGGCCATTCCCCTCATGAGGCAGCCAGCCCAGGGCTCACCTGCCCACTCTGGCATCAGGGATCCAGCTGCCCTCCATAGCCAGGTGCAGGGCCTGCCCCAGACTGGGGGCAGGAATACTGCCATGACCCAGGGAGCTCGGCCACTGTCCCCCTCCCATGTCCCCGTGGGTAGTGACAGTCCTTGTTCCTGTCATGTTGGTTCACCCTGTAGGGCCATGTGCTCTGTCTGGAGCCTCCATTTCCTCTCACCTGCTCGCTAGAGTAGCCTGGCCCTGTTGATGTTGTGATTGTGGTCAAGTTTTCAAGTTTCACCTGGTAGTTTCCCACAAGCAGCCCCTCTCTCTGTGGCCCCTTCTCCATCCAACCCTTCCATGCCTTGGCCCAGGCCTCTGCCTGGATGCGAGTTGTTTTGGCCAAGAAGGCACAACATGACTGTTGGCTTGGGCACCAGCCCTCTCCCAGCTCTTCAGTAAGACTTTACCCAAGGGAGGCTTGAGACACCTTCGTGCCTGGCAATACAAGCCCCTTGAGAGGACAGAAGCTTTATCTGCCCATGGTGCCCTGGAGACAGCGTTCCGTACAAACCCTTTTACCTTGGCTTCCTGGGCCAGTCCTTCAACTCTCCACCCTGCACCCCATATTAAGGTCCATTTCAAGGTTGGGGTCCCTCTGCATAGCTGACTACTCAAGCATTGCTCGAAGCTGGCTTTTCGCATTATACCAGATGCAGTTGCCACATTTCATTCTTACAGACAGATGCCTCTGGAGTTGCAGTTGAGTGACAACCCTGTACATTGTAGCATAGATCAATTATGTTTGGATATTTCAGTGAACATGTTTACAATTTTTGTATATAAGGATCTCTCCCTCTTCTGAAAGAACAATCTGTGATTGTGTATTTTCAGTGTCCCGTGTTCCAACTGCAACTTCTTTACAATAAAGACTGTAAATGAGTTTACTGTGGCCCAGACACTCTTGGACTCATTCCTACCCCTGCCCCTCCTGGTGGCAGAGGCTGGGCTCTGAAGGGCACCAGGACCCAGAATCTAGGAAAGGGCAGGGAGGTGGAGGCCAGGCTGACCTCCGTGTTCTGGGGTTCCAGGTCCACCAGCCCCTCATCACACGTCACACTGGTCTGGAACTGGATTGCTCAGAGCAGGCTCTCTGAAGTGCTGGGGAGATCCCATCTTTTATCCCTTTTATAACAGCAGGAGTAACAACTATTTCTTGTGGGATTGTATCTTTAGTAGTTCTTGCATCAGTCAGTGGATATAAACTTTGAGTCTTTATATTATTCCCATGATCTTGATAGATAGTTTTACTGGGTATATAAATGTCACTTTCCTTAAAACTTTAAAGGTATTTCTCTTACTTTTTAGGATCTTATACTACTGATAAGAGCAGTGATAACAGTACAATTTGCATTCCTTTGTAGGTTGTCATTTTGGTAATAATTTTGTTCTAAGTTGTGTCTACATGTAGCTTTAAAAAATTATCCTTAGTGCTTGTCTGTATTTTTATATTTCTTCAGTGCTTGGGAAACACAGTCATGATTTCTCCAAATGTCCCCTTCTCACTACCTTCTGCTCCTGGGACCCCTATCAGGTGTATCATGCAGCTTCCAGAGCCACATTGTATAACCAACTGCCCTTTGGAGGTTTCCCCAGCTTGGTCTTATTTACTTTTGAACCCAACTACTTTTATGTCAGTTTTTCATCTCTAAGATTTCTAATTGGGCCCTGGTTGGCGTTGTTCAGTGGTTAGAGCGTCGGCCCACACACGGAAGGGCACACATCCAGGTTGCAGGTTTGATCCCTCGCCTCGGTTGGGACACATGCAGGAGGCAACCAATTGCTGTCTCTCTTTCATATTTAAGTTTCTCTCCCTTCTTTCTCCCCTCCCCCCTCCCTTCTACTCTCTCTAAAAATCAATGGAAAAAATATCCTCGGGTGAGTACTAACACAAAAAAGGGAAAAAAAGTAAGAAAAGATTTCTAATTGGTTAGTGACCTCCTGGTTAAGTGAAGCAGTTGGAGCTGGAATGCTGGCTCTGCCACATTCACACTTGGCCATCTTGGGCAAGTCTCTTAATTAGTCTGTGCCTCAGGTTCCCCTTCTGTAAAAGGTAATAGTTCCTATCACATAGGGCAGGGTGATAACACTTGTAAAGAGCTCAAAGCAGTACTTGTCAAACAGCCAGAACTAAAGTGTCACCTAGAATTATGGGTTTTGCTTAAGAATAGGTATTTTCAGTATCATTAATGTGGCATCCCAGTTTCCAGATTGCTCCTGTGGGGTTGGTTGTACTCAGGTCTGCAGAGGGCACTGTGAGGCGCTTGTGTGTGGTGGGAAATGCAGGTAGCTTCTGTGTAGCCACTGATGCACTGGCGATGAAGGGTGAAGGGGGTGGAGGCTCTCTTCTAGGGGGTGCTGAGCATGGCTATCACCCAAGGACACTGTTCCAGTCCCAGCCCTGGGTGAGCAGCCATGTGGCTCTGGCCTGGCTCTTCTGCAGGCCACTGACTATGGCCTTTATCACCATGGGTGCCCCCTTCCGTTTTTTAGAAAGATATCTCCATTTCTTCTCACTTAAGGACGTTTCCGTTGCCTTATTTTGATGTGGTTATGTGTTGAGAACTTTTTCCTATTTGTATGTGTTTAGGGCAGAAAGGCGAGATTTCAGTACGTGTCTGGTCCCCTTCCGAAATATCAGATCACAAATTATTTTCTTACAGTAATTCAGATGTGCCCCCCCCCTCCCGTTTCTAAATTGTTCTTGTTGAAGTTCATCGTTAGTAGCTCTTTCACCCATCTTTGTATGAAAACCTTATGTCTATATGCCTCTCACATTCTGGAAGTATAGTTTACTGGGTACAAAGTGTAGGTCAAACATGGCTGTGTCTATTCCTGGAAGGCTTGGGCAATGCTAGACCTCCAGGACTGGCTTGGTTGGCTTCTGCTTCCTGTGAGGAAAACCCAGCTACCCAGCTCTCCCCACAGACCGTCTACTGGCTGACCACCTGAGCTGTAATATGTAGAGTTCCCCTCACTACTGAGTGACCTCAAAAGGCAGAGAAGCTCAGAATGCCAGCTATGTGCATTATTGCAAAATAAATTTATTTGAAGATAAACTGTTTTATAAAAGGTCAGAGGCAATTTGAGATCCCAGATTCAGCTTCTTATAGAAAGATTTAACTTCAAGTAGCACAATTTTGTGTCTGCTTTTAATCCTGAACATTCTTGAATCATGAAAACAGCCAACTGTTTACACAACACACGCAATATCTTACTCCAGCACCAGTGGAACCACAGCTTTAGGCTTAGGGGCATGGTGCTGCAGCCCTCGGCTCAGGAGGTCCCAGATGGGCCACTGTGGCCACTGGCTCTGACAGCATGGACAAGTCCCGCATTGGCCCTTCCTTCCCCTGGCACCTTTCAAAATCATGAGCTACAAACCAAGACTGGCCCACCACTGAGGCAGGGGTATCTGCCCAGCTCCCAGGAGGAAACCAGATGGACTCCTGCCTAACTGCTGACATGGTGAAGTGGGCTATCCTTGTGACCCCTGGTGGGCCGGCCAACCAAGGGGCCTGAGCAGGTGGCCTCATCAGGGCCTTACCTGGCTGCCTGGCAGCCCAGGAGGAGGAGGAGGAGGGACAAAGGAGGCTCATGGGTGTGGCCGCTCCTGCTCACATAGCGGGAGCTATGTGAGGGTCCTGGCAACAGCTTGCAGGGAGGGGAAGTCGTCGTCCCGGGCAGTGTGCAGAGCCTGGTGGCTGCTGACATCACCATTTGCGAGTACCTGCTGGCAGGTAGGGCACACACGGCAGTCCAGGCTCGCCTGCTGGGTGCTGGCTTGCCATGCGCTCTTCTTGTTCTTCTTGCCCTTGGTGCCGGGAAGCCTCTCTTGGCCTCGGAAGTCTGTGTGTGCAGACAGCAGCTCCTGCTGCTTGGCTGTGTCGGGCAGGAGCACCAGCAGCTCATTGAAGATCTTCTGGAAGTTCTCCCCAAGCAGGTCCCGGCAGCTCTTATAATACTGGGCTGCGGAGATCACGCCCTGCCACCCAGCGCCAGACCCAGTCACCCTCGGCCCAGGCCTGGGCCCCAGGTGGCAGGCTGTACCCCCATCCACCCCCATTCGCTCCCCCCACCAGCCTGACCTGTCTAAACTCTCCCGAATGACTCTTGAACTGGCTGAAGCGGGCTTCGTCACTCTGCAGGAAGTCCTTGATGGATTGGATAAGCTGTAGGTTCCTCTCCCGGAAGTTCTCAGGGACCAGGTAGGCCCGGGGCGCTGGTGTCAGCCTGGGTCTGGAGTTGGGAGATGGAGGCTTCAGTTTTTGGGGTGGCCGAAGGTGAGGGCGCTCTCCCCTGGCCCCCAGGGACAGGGGGCCAGGCAGCCCACCACACTTACGCTTTTGTGGTGGTGGTAGTGCTGGGGACACAGGCTGGGTGGGGGCTGGGCAGGCCGGAGAAGCCGGGGGGTGGCTTGCTGACTGGGGGCACCAGACCCGGCGGAGGTGGGGGTGGAGTGCCCTTCAGGAGCACCACAGTGCTGAAGCCTGCGTGGGTGGCACATCAAGACCCAGAGAGTGACCCTCACTGGCCGGGAACTGCCACGCTTCATTCCTCGAAACCCACAGGCTGCCCGGCTCACCCAGGTCAGGCTTCCATCCACAGACCACACCTCCCCTGAATAGCAGGCTCAGAGCCTGATGACGCCCAGAGCCAACACACGTGTTGTGCTCCCTTGTGGCAAATGCTGGCATAAGTTAACTCATTTGCCCCAATCTTGAGAGGGTGCCAGGACTGCCCAGTTTTACATGGAGGAAAGGGACAGAGAGGCTAAGTGGTGGACCAAGGTCACACTGTTCACAGATGACAGCATCTGCATTCAGACTTCCACTATGCTTCTGAGGAAGCTGGAAACAATTGCACAGGCTCATCTATAGTCTAGTGTTTACTGGTACAACACAACCTTGGGCCTGGGGGGGACTCCAGCCTGACTCTACTGCCCCAACCCCTTCCCAGACACTCAGAAACAACCCTGAGCCAGGCGCACCTACCTGGGGGAGGGGGCATCCTGGGCGGGCAGGGGCCGCCGAGCGCTGGAAAGTCTTCCTGGGGCGTGGGGCAGGGGAGGGGCCCCAGGGGCCGTGGGAGTCCTGGGGGTTCCTTGGGGACACTCCGAGTAGGGGCTGGCCCCTCTGTGTGTCCATTGACGATGACGGCAACATTCCCCTCAGCTCTGCCCGTGGGGGCCAGGGAGGACTGCTCAGCCCCAGGGCGCCTATCTTTCTCAGAGGGCAGTAGCAGGGGTGACATGGCACCCAGCTTCTCGGAGCCCACTTTCTTCTTCTTGCCGACTTTGGTGAAGGTCGGGGTAGAGGCAGGGGCCAGCAGGGAGGACACAGTGACTGTGGTGGGCACGCTTCGCAGCTCCTGGGTGGTGAGGCCAGTGCGACTATCCTCCTCTTCCTCCTCCTCCATGGGGGGTGGCCCACCCTTCTTGCTGCCCTTCCCCCCCTTCCCAGCCTTCCTGGGGGGCTGACTGCCCCCGCTGGTAGCCTGGGCCCCTGGGATGGGTTGCACCACCTTCTTGCTGCCGCTGCTATTCCAGGCAGAGATGAGGCTGGTGGGGGCTGTACTGGGCTTGGAGATGGAGGACACCAAGGCAGGGAAGTCATCCTCCTGAAAGGTGCTCCTGCCCCTGGCAGGAACAGGGTACACCAGTGCCAGCCCCACAGGGCCCAGGGCCGCTGCCGTGGAGGAGGAGGAAGCAGAGGTGCAGAGACTGGGAAAATCTTCGTCCTTGAGCTTCGAAGTGAGGGGCGGAAGGGTGCTGAGCCCAGGGAGGGGAGAGGGGTCAGTGGCCTGCCAGGCCCTGGACTGCCCTGCACCCACCCTCCATATGAACTCCACACTTTTGCAGCCCAGTTCGTGTGCATGTGTACCTCAGAAGTGTAGCCCCTG